ACAATCAAACTTTATTCTTCTTCAATGTAGCATGAATTGAAACATCTTTTGATAATTTTGACAACCTTTTCTTCACATCTTCATTGAAGCATATTGTATGATTGATGTCTCTTGGTTCATATCAAGTTCATTTCTCCTACCCCTCACCATACTATGGGAAAAAAGTGGAGTTTTCATCCACCATTTTAGCCTGCTTGACCTTCGACTTTTGTCTCAAACTAGTGTCCTCCCTCCTAATTAAGACTTCAAATGCACTTTTCAGCGCAACACTCTCGCCTCTCAAAGGCCCTCGACAAACTCCTTTCCTCCTCCGTTCTATGTTTTGTGTACTTTTGTAACCCATTTCAACATAACAACGAACGGCTTCGGTTTCCTATATATAATAATGATTCAAAGAACAAAATACTACCATAAATTTTGTATCTCTCACTTCGGATCTCCACAAATTCAATCTCTTCAATCAAAACACAATTGTAGTACACCTTAAAAATTAATTCACTATCATTCTAGAACTCAAACTTCAGGCATTTTATCAAATTCTCAAATTTCAATAAAAGTAAACAAGTAAACGGAGTCTACTGAATAGCACAAGCAACATGCCTTTTGTAGAGCAATTGGTACTGCAGGTCCTTTGGCTTTTGCATAACCAACAATGCCATGATAGTTCCCACAAGCCAAGAGAGCACTGTATTTGACAACTTGCCCACCCTGTATCATCCAAAGTTTACAATCATCAAGTGCATAATTATTTGGATAGGATATTTAGAAGGGTGGGTGCGTACCTTCGTAACTTTACAGGTTCTGTTCACATCAATTAATTTCACATCGAAACCCTGCAATCAATTTGTAACAAGCAAAAGTGAGGGAGAGAGAGCCTCAACTTAGACCACACTTTCTATATCTCCTCCGTCTACAAGGGGAACAGCTTAGCTTACAACACAGCGTGTTCTTCAAATCCCGGTGTAGAACAACGAAATTTCAACTGCCAAAAGAAGACAGACAATAAAGTAAAGGCATAGAAAGGATGATGGAGTAACATACTTTTCGATAAAGAGGCCTTCGTTTCTTCTCAGTTAAAGAATTTCTCTCCTCTGCGAGATCTCGGATTTCTTCTTCAAGAACCTTTCCTTTCTTTCCAAAGGTATGATCCAGCTCTGCCAGCTTCTCTTCAAGTTTCTTATCTATAGCATTAAGCTTCTCCAGTAGTATATCATCCCTTTCTTTCATGTCATCAAACTCTTCCTCATCATCATCATCAACCCCTTGTATGATTTGCTTCTCTTTTTCAAATCCTGATTGCTCCATGAGATCAACCGACGGACCTACTTGTTCGTGTTGAATGACTCCATAGTTTGCAGGATTATTTGGGTCATAAGCTTCCTTCCACTCCACTAATCTCATAGCCCTATTTAACTTTTGCTGAAGAATGAACTTCTCCTTGCCATCCGCCATTTTCAAGCGGTTCATTAATTCACCAATTACCCGATATTCAGGACGAAGCCGGAAGTGTTTTTGCTCAAACTTGTCGATCTTACTCATCCATTTGAAGGCGTCATCGATGTTGTCTGTAAAAAAACAGTTGGAGACGACAGATTTTAACACAAGTCCAAAAAGTTGCAAAAACAAAAACAATGGCTATATGAATTTTCTTTTGGTTAAGATGTTAAGATCGAATAATGGTATCAATTAATAGCTGCTGAATTCTGCAACGTTTTCAATACATATGTTCATGCCTCATTCCATATGAAGAACGTTATAAAAAGTGTAACCCACATGTTAGTCTATTGCAATAAGTATCAAACAACGAAACAAAAACTTGAGGATGCCACTAGCTACATTTGGAGTATACAAAATTTGAATCAATATGCATTCCCAAAATCCTTCCATACACTAAAAACAAGAACAAGTAGGAAATGTTGATATGCTCCAAAATAAATGGTCATACCAGTCTCAGTGAAGTGCTTGAGCAATTCCTCGTGTCTTTTGAATTTCCTCTCAAATTCATCAAACCTCTTTTTGACGGATTCAGAACTAAATCTTTCATCGTCTTCATCACTATCAGAATCAGTAGCTTCTTCATAGGCGTTCAAGTTCCCGGTGTCCTTTAACTTTTCCTTCTCGAGCTTCTCTATCAATGGCCCAACACCCATATAATCCTCCCTATCTTCATCGTCAATATCCTTGGTATCAAGACCAGCCCTTCTCCTCTGCTCCCTTTCTCTCTGCTTCTCCTTCTCCACTTCAGCGAGAAGATCTTGCACTACTCTGGCTGAAGCAGTTGAGTAACACCGCGTCGCCGGAGTCTTCGGTGTTTCCTCAAACGGGAAGCGTTGGAGAGGGGAGATTTGCCGGGAAATGTGAAGTGGGGTTTTGATGGGGTTTTGGTGCACGACCTGGTTGAGAAGGAGACGCGACCAAGAAAATGCTTGCGATTTGTTCACCATTTCTTTGAGTCTAAACTTCAATCACACATCTGTACTGATCAAATGCATAAACCATTCAATTCAATCATATTCTTTTCCCAAAAACAAACGGCATTACGTTGTTGGTGTGGTGGGTGCCGGCGACCAGCGACGGCAGCAGGTGAGAGAGAGGGAAAGAGGAAATAAGGGACGGAGGGTGATGAGTATGGGCGCCGCTGGGAAGCAGTGGTGATACTGATCGGAGAGATTAAAGTGACCGATGGGGTGTGCGGCTGCGGCGAAGATGGGAGAGGAGAAATCACGAAAACCGGTGGGGATTTGATTTTGTGTCGCAACATATTATTCCATCAAATTATGGGCGTTGAGATGTGTTGAAAGCTCGATCATAAATTAATGAAATTTAAATTTTTGAAGGTTCCATTAAATATTTACTTAAAAAAAAATCTAAAAAAAATACACTTAAATACTAAAAAAAATATATTATCCTTAGTTTTAATTAGGGTGTACATTCAACCTGACAACCTGACAAACCGGGTTGGATTAACATTTTGGGTAGGGTTGAGTTCATTTTTCTAAACCCGAACTGAATCAGTTCGGTTTCGAGTTCGTTAGCAAAACCTTTGGGTTGACTCGAGCCAAATGAAAATATATAATATATATTAAGAATCCTTTCATACTAATGGGTTTGTCACAGTGGTACTGAGTCGATCAAAGGATATTTCAACTCGAATTAGATGCTAGGCAAATATATGTTTTTGTTAATCCAACCCAACCCGAACTTTGGGTTGGCTAAAAAAATCTCCCAACCCGGACCATGTATACCTCTATTTTAATAGAAACGTTAAAATTTTATTTTAAATAATATCTTTAAACAATGGTTTGAAAAATACGCTTAAAATACTTCAATAATATAGTTTTCAAAAATTTTATTAATTAACTTTTAATAAAAGATTAAAAACATAGTTAAACGTAACATATAGACAACATACGATTTTTGTCCACATATTGATACTAATAATTTTATTTTTTTAATGAAAGTGTGTTAATGTTACTTTTAAATTTTTTGAGTATTTCTTAAACATAGTATGTATTTTTGAACATAAACAAAAAGTTGAAAAATGTAAACTTTTAAAGTTTAAATATATTTTTTAAATACTATTTAAAGTTCAAGTGTATTTTTGAAATAAAATTTAATAACTTTAAAATTAAGAGACTTCTTAAATAACTCCAAAACTAGTCATATATGAGATTTTTTTTTTTTTTTTTTTAAATTCAAGGATATTATTGAAACTTTTAGAAATTTACAATAGTACGTAGAATGCTTAGAACAACAAATACCCTGATATCGACTCAATGTGTTAAGAAGAAAGTTTGAAAAAAACGGAATAGAGAGATTTTCGAATGAGTGGAAAACAATGTTGAAAATAATGTCATAGGCTATCAATATCAAGCAAGAAAGTCAACACAATTGCTTAAATAACATATAAATCTGCTTGGGAAGAATTGACGACTAATTGCATCCCTTATAGTATACTTTGACTAATAAGTTGGGTAAGATGTGAACTTTGAGGACAATATTGGCATATGCTCGAGCCTTGGGTCACGTTTGAGAGAAATGTTTTTAGAAAATGTGAGCTCGGAAATGCGTTGAAAATAATTTGAAAGTAACAACCACAACTTTGATAGCATATAATCCGGGTAGGAAGAATTGACAACTAGTCACATCTCCTATAGTACATTTTGTGGCATTTTAGCCCCGACACGTGTATACTTGATTTTGGTGACGAGTTATACACCCCCGTATTGACACAACAAAAATAGTAAAGACCTATCTAACATGAAAGCAAGTAAAAAAGGGTTTGGAATAGGCATGCCGCCATGGACTACATGTCCTAGACAAGTATGATCGTGACATCCTCTCTCACTCAATTGGTTGATGTCTCTGTTAACTAATTTTTTACGAACTCAGTGATGTAGGATGAGGCTAACTTCAGGTCTCTGATACACATCCAACTAATCTCAGCATTAAGGAGTCTCTTCCAATTTTTCAGAAACGGTTGAAAACCACTTCTCGGTTGGTCGAGTCTTCGCATCTTCATTGTTAAAGTCTCTTCTACTATCTTCGCTGTAAAAATTTTCTTTGTTGTATGAGGTCGTACCACCTCCTTGCGCTTGGTGTCTTCTTGGTCGGGATAATAACATTTTCAGTTGCTGACGTGAACAACATGACTAGTTCGCATCCATGGGAGCAATTGGATTTTATATGATGTTTTACCGGTTAGGTTATGGAGCCTGATGCTTATTTATAGCTTGGTCAACGGTTATATCCGGTAAAGCTATATTTGGTAAAGCTATATCCGGTAAAACTATATATAGTAAATAGCTATATATAGTAAATGGTTAAATCGGATAAAGCTATATATAGTAAATTGAACTATATATATATCCTGTCCGGTAGAGCTTTGAGATATGTACTTTCTATTCTCGGTACTCTCTCTTATTGTACATACCTGAAGTCATCAATAAAAAAAAAAATCTTTTAGCCTGAGTTCTCCTTGCAATTTGCAATTTTCTTTATCCCATTCTTTGTGTTCATCTAGATCGAGCGTGTACGTTGTTGTGCGATCCTAACATTACCGACTTTGTGGATAATTTCGACTGGTTCATAGCATTTCTACATCAGTCGTTGGTTCTTGCTGCTTTGAACTCAAAGTTGATCTGACTTCAACTTGATTAGAACTCTCTCTTCGTTATGAAATTTTTGTGACCAACGCTTCCAACTAGGCCTTTCCTTCATCCCTTTGGATGGTCTTTTTCAAGTGAACATGAGTTACTTCGAAGGTTTATCTTCTCCCTTCCATAAAGTTGTTGGTTTGGGGTCTCTCTCTAGCATTTGAGTGATCACTTACAAGAGTCTTTGCAGGTCTAATGAGCCTAACTGTCAACAAGTCATTTAGCTGTTTATAAAATTCACCTAACTCAAGTTGAGTCGTATAATACACATATGTGGTAGGCAACCTCACCCCGACATAAAATCAATCTTGGGATCTTCTACCTAGGAGGAGATAAATATGTTGTCTAACTTTCTAATCTTGCGTCGTGGTGTTTTTAGTAACCGAGAGGTTTCTGTTAGGGTTAGCTCACTCGAGTTCCCCTCTTCAACTACGGCAATGCAGTTAGCACATGTTCATCATGGCTAAGATCCTTTCTCAACTGCAGTGCTGACATCATTTTCACCTCTTGGTTGATGTGTGTTTGTTTGAATGATCTTCAGGTTGGACCCAGTTACTACTAAGCATTTTGCTAAGGGAATGGTAATGACTTTGTGTTCTAGCAGGAAGTCCACCCCTAATGTCGAAGTCATCCATCTTGACGATCACAAAGTCGGTTTATCCAGTCCAAGTCCCCATCTTAATCGAAGTTTTCTTTGCAACTCCTAAGACAAGTAAAGTTGCCGAATTGATGGCCTTCATCTTTCCTGTGTCTCGATGCCAAAGGATGTTCAAGCGTTTTGCTTTAATCTCTGTCATGAAGTTGTGGGTGGCTCCATAGTCAACAATCTGTTCCTCATCGTTCTGAGATTAACCCATGCCTCGACATACATAAGACCACGTTCCACTGACTTATCTATCTCTTCCACTCTATTCTAGAGAGTGGACAAGTACTTTAGTGCCTCCATACACGGTGTTTAACATTCTCAACAAACGATGTTTCAGTTTCTACCGTCTCATACTCAGCTTTTGTATTCACTCCAAGTTTTGCTTGGAAGGCATATAGTGTCGCCTTCTGTGAGCATTCAGATTCTCGATGGCTCCATTACATATGAAATAGGATAAGGAGCCTTGATTGTGACTATTCTTGCCATGAGGTTTCTGCCATTGAGCTCTACCTATCTGTTGGGAGAACTCGTTTTCCTCTCCTCTGCCTTTAAGTCTGTCACCTCCCCCACCTTTGGGGGAATTAGGTCGGTAATTTCTATTACCCCCACTTACGGAAGTCTGGTTCCACATTTCATCTTGAGATTGATCGTTGTTAAGGTCAAATAGTCGTTCAGCTGTAGCGTAGGCTGTGGAAAGGTTTTAACCCTTTGTTCATAAAGTTTGGCCTTCGCTCACAGCTTTAGCCCCTCAACAAAACTGAAGACCTTGTCTTTCTCGGACATGTCACGAATATCCAACAAGCCCGGAAAATTGCATAGCATAGTCTTGGATATTCCCAGTATGCTTCAACTCCCTTAACTTCCTTCTTGCGATTATCTCGACATTCTTTGGAAGAACTGCAAGTGAAGTTCTTATTTTAAGCTCTCCCAAGTTTCCACAATACGTCAATCATCTTCAATGTCCATGTACTTGGATCTCCACAACAACCTTGCATCATTGGCTAGATGCATTGTTGCCAACGTAACCTTCGCTTCTTCTACCACGATATTTGTGGCTCGAAAGTACTTTTTGAGGTAAAAAATAAATTTCTCTAGAGCCTTGGCATCTCGAACCCCACAGAAGGGCTTAAGCTCTGGGACATTTATCATGTTCTCTTAAACATGACCCGAGACTCAAGTATACGTCAATGTTGTCCGCGAGTTCGAATCTAACTTGTTCCCTAGGTTAGAACAAGTGCAGCACAATCGTTGTCTCGATACTGCATAAATGCGATTGTGCCAAATGGTATTAGAGTTGAGTCGACTTCTTGAATCGTAGTACACAAACATGTTCTCTACAAAACCACTGGGCAAGTCCCAGCTGACCGATTGGTAGAGATCGAAGATCAATTACTCTACCTGAGTGAAGTTCCTGATGAAATGAGACTTTTGGAGTCTCGTATGAGTGAGATTGATGTTAAAGTCAACAGAATCGACGAATTGCTAGACCGCCTTGAGACAATGCCTGTTTGTGAATTAATGGTTAGGATTGACGTCAAAAATACTTTAACATCAACAGTATCGCCCTCTTTCATTTATTGGACTTCAAACTCTTTCCTAAGAGCTTGGAGTTGTGCTCTTTTGACTCTTCACTCTAGGTAGATTTAACAGGAAAGAAGAAAGAGATAGAAAAGTTATCTATAAAATAAATTCATCAAACTCTTTTATATAACCGTAGCTTATCTTCTGGAAAAATAAAAAATGAGATCCTTGAAATATATATATAATATTCTAAGACAGTCTTGATGCACGTAAGAAGTCTAATGCTAGAGTATTAAAAAATATAGAGAATTGAACTTGAAATTAATGTCATAAGTTCATATAGGTTAACTTGGATGCAAATGACAAAATCAAATTTTTATTAAGGACAAATTAGTGACACTAGCCTAAGCTAATCAAATAAGTGACCTTACTATCGGCATGATTATATTTGATGTTGACACGTGCCATGTGGTTCTGGACATGTCATATATATTGATATGTGTGAATTTTTTATGAATCAATATGACTTTGACATGTTATGTATGTGTTATGATATGATAACTCTTACGTCATAATGTGTTCAATGATATGTGTAAGATAGGATACGAGAATGACGCGATAATTGTAATGTAACGATATGACTAAGATAATGATTGACAGAGCGATATGGTTAAGTTATGTATAGAAAAGAATATGATTATGATATATTAATAGAACAATATGGTTAGGATACGTTCCTGTAACGATATGACTAGGGTATGTTCAAGAAACGATATGGTTAGACTGCGTTCCTAATGGTAAGACTAAGATACGTTCATAAAACGATATGATTAAAGTATGTTCATCAAATAATGACTCTAAGATGTTTAAGGATGATAAGACTATGACATGTTTAGGAAACGATATGACTACGAAAATTTTACGAAATGATATGATTATGATACGACATTGAATGACGGATATATATATATATCTTGTGATATGACATGAAAATGATATGAAATTATTATTATGCGAGATATATGATAAATTGACATGTTATGATATGATATGTATATGATGAAAGTTGTTATGTTTAGAAGCATGAAACGTTATGATGTGACATATATATGTAATCTGAATGATATGATATGATTGACCTACAAAACGACAAACTAGCATGAAATACAACCCCGACGTATGCATGAAAGATATGATAAATGATATGAAAAACGATATGATACGTACAAAACGCTAGGGGTTGTATTAAAAGATAATGAAAATGAAAAAATATTGAGACCTCATGCATTGGGGGATACCCATATTCCTTCACAATGGTACAGATATGTTCACTACTAGGCAGAAGAACGACCATTATGTTTTACATAATGCTACCATGACGGCTACTACTTCTAACAGGTGTCCGGCACAGAGTTACCAGAGCATGCTCACCCGACAAGGAAAGGGGCCTAATGGTGTGTGAATCGACTGGTGGGTCCACACTCACACGTGTAGCCCATGTATAGAGTTTATGGTACACATCTAAGCTATCTGTTAGGAGAGTACCATAAGAAAATAGACTGTTATAATAGATCCCGTCATTGCATTCGCATGTTATTGCATTTAACCCCAATAGTGGAGTCACTTACTGAGTATTTCTTTAAATACTCAAGCCACGTGTTACTTTTATTTCAAGTTAAGGCAAGACATTCCTGTACGGCTGAGGAAAACATCGCCATTCGAGACCGTGACACATGCATAGGGTAGTCGCATTTATTTTTTTAGACTTAGACTAGAGTAGGATGTTTTTAAGTTGAACGTTTATTTATTTTATTTAGTCTTTTGTTGTGTCGTTTTAAAGGTGTTTTCAAAACAAGTAAGTTTATGACTATGTTTTAAGATGAAGGTGATATTTTTTAAAAGTTTAAATGAAGTATTTTCACATTTAATGTTCACAATCTCAAATTAAGTAGAAAATTTCGGGTCGTTACAGCCGCACCTTAATTGTTATATCATAGTGTGGGGTCGCACCATAATTATTTATCATATTATAAGGTTGCATCTTAATTGTTATATCATATATAGCTACTAAAGGGTTGCCAACTAATCCTTAGTAATAAAATGTTTTGATACTCAACATCTGTATATGTCAAAGAGTTAGATTATACAAGAGGTTGCGCCTCATCTATATACATATAACAGAGTTAGATTATTCAAGAGGTCGTCGCGCCTCATCTATTTAAGTATAACTGAAATCGATAAAAATATATAAAACATAATTAGATTTATTAACCCGAAATATTGTGATTAACTAATTATTAAATTGTAACATTGAGACAGATATAGAAGCATGAGACCATGTGACATCAATGGTTGAGATAAACTAATTATTGATAAAAGCCGTTTGATTGAAGGTTTTATTTATGATACCGAAAAAAGAAAAAAAAATTTAGAAATAGAATATTGTATTTGATATTATAGGAAAAATGTTATTAGAATTTCGTATAAATAAAATATTTCAATAATTTTATTACATTCTTTTATCAAAATAAATTAAATATATATTTAAAAAATATTATTGATTTATTATAATTAAAGAACTAATGGTAATAAATTTGTAAACTAAGATCAATTAATTAATTAATTAACTGATTTTATTCAAAATAAATTAAGATATTAATGTTATCAATAAATAATATTGTTTAGCTTGATAATTACTCCTACTAGCAATTTTATTACATTAACTAATAATTAATGGGCGTTAATTAATTTATTTTTATTAAGTTAATTATTAAAATAATTTTAACCTATTAAAATTTGATTTAATTTTTATTATATATAATATAACTTTAGATTTTCGAGTTTATTACCGACTAATATCAATAAAACATAAATAATAGAAAAAGTTTAAAAAATCATATTAAAATTAATAAAGAAAATGAAATAAAGGAACTCGAGTATATAAGGGGAAGCCAAGGATTCGTTAGTTTCCATCCTTTGTGTATGTTCAAAATGGAAACTACATCTCTTCCAATTCTCATCATAGCCATCATCTCCATCCTCACAATCTTCATACTCATCCGCCATGGCTGCTCCTTCAAGAACCTTCCACCAGGGCCATACCCTCTCCCATTTCTGGGCAACATCTTCCTCCTCCGGAAACACTCCTCATCATTCTCATCGCTCATTCACACCCTCCATGCTCACTATGGCCCCATCTTCACACTCCACTTCGGCTCCCGCCCTGTCATCTTCATCGCCGCCCATTCCATCGCCCACCAAGCTCTCAACCACAACGGCGCTGCATTCGCTGGCCGGCCCCCTGCCTCCACCACTACTAAGATCCTCTACAGCAACCAAATCACCATCTTCAACGCCTTCCACGGCCCCAACTGGAACCTCCTCCGTCGTAACCTCGTCTCTGAAATCCTCCACCCCTCTCGCCTGAAACTCCACTCCGACACCCACCGGTGGAGCCTGCACTTGCTAGTCTCTCGCCTGAAATCGCACTCCCAGGGCGGCGCCACTGCCGTTCGCCTTGTCGACCATTTCTGGCCGACTATGATGGAGTTATCAGTGTTCATGTGCTTTGGATTGAAGATCGACGAGGATCGAATCAAAGCCCTAGCCGATCTCCTCCATCGCGTTCTGTTGTACTCCAGTAGAGAAAACAAACTCAATCAGTATCCATTAAAATTAGGGAAATTCCTCTGCCCTAATCTCTGGAAGGAACTCTCAACACTTCGAAACGAAATCGAAACTGCAATAATTCCTCTAATTAAATCCAGATTCCACGAAAGACAACGCGAAATCGAACAAAAGAAGAACGAATTAGAAACAAAATCAGAACAGATTTCGCCCTATCTCGACACATTGATAAACCTACACCTCCCAGAAGAGAATCGGAAGCTCGAAGAAGGTGAAATCATCAGCCTATGCGTGGAATTTCTCAACGGAATCGTCCATTCCACAGTAGTGGTGATGGAATGGGCAATGGCAAACATCGTAAAATATCCAGAAATCCAAGAGAAGCTATATAGAGAGATGAATGAGGCGATGGATGGAGCATCAACGAAAGACTACATAAGAGAGGAGGAGTTGAAGAAGATACCGTACCTGAAAGCAGTGATAATGGAGACCTTGAGGAGGCATCCGCCAGGGCATTTGGCACTACCACATACAGTGACAGAGGAGGTGGTATTGGACGGGAGATTCGTGGTGCCGGAGAAAACGACAGTGCATCTAGCGGTGGCGGAGATGGCGAGGAACGAGGAGGTATGGGAGGAGGCGATGGAGTTCAGGGCGGAGAGATTCTTGAGAAACGAGGAAGAAGAAGCGGAAGGTAGAGAAGAGATTTGGAGGGGGAGGAGGGAGATTAAGTTGATGCCATATGGGGGAGGGAGAAGAATGTGCCCAGGAGCTGGGATTTCGATGCTTCATTTGCAGTATTTTGTGGGAAATTTGGTATGGCTGTTCAAATGGGATGAGGAGGGTGAAGTTGATCCTGAGGAGAAGTTTGAGGTTTCGATCGTCATGAAGACGCCGCTGCAGGCTCGCATTTCCGCTCGCTAAAAGAAGAGAGGCCCATAGGATCATCTCCTTTACCATCCATGCTAAATTCTCCAATTAATTTGGAACAATAATGGAAATTAGAAATCACTCCAATTCCAATTACAAACTCAGGTTTATAAAGTATACTTTGTATATAATTATATTATTGATTGATTATTTGTGTTAAGTATTTAATAATTTTTTTTAATAAATTTATTAATGAGACCATAACAAGATGTCTAAGTTTGATATCCCGACACTATAGCCGGTACGAGTGCTAGTGACACTTCGATTGATTCCAAGGAAAGAATCAATAATAAGTATGGAGAGACAAGTCGATGATTTGCCACTTGTGAGGCATTGATATCAATGGTGAGGGAATACACTTATCTCGACTCATAAAGCGTAAAAAGGAAGTCTAGATGAACCTTGGATCACACCTAAGAAGGGTGTTGCATGAGGACATACGAGCCCATACAATATTGAGAGGAGTACGACATGAGGGCAAATTTTTGAACGTATAGGCATGATGTCACGGTTATACTTTTTCAACCATGTGGCGTCGTGATCATGACACGCTCATGACTAGCCTTGAGGTGAACCCAAGCCTCATATACATTTTTCGCTCAACTTTGTGGCTTCGTCGGACCTTAGGCGAGGTTGTCTTCACCCGCCGAACAAAACTTGTGCGAAATTCAAGTTTGTTCGACCACACACTCTGCATGTTCGTGCATATTCAATCATCTGCGACTTAACCGACTTGCCTCTATACTAAGTCAAGTCATTTGGCTCAACCTTGGCTCAACTCAGAGCCAAGGTCTCTCAATTTAACGTTGCATCTTAGATCATTCTAGGTTTCCAATTAACATATATCTTGACGTCATCCCAAATCATAGGGTTTCGTCAGCCATCACAGCTCACTCAATCATGCCATCGAGAAAGGGCCCACATGTTGTTCATAATACGGACATCCCAAAAATTCATTCATTCGGGTTCTATTGAGGCATTGGACTCTCTCGTGTCCATGTCATATCATTTACGAACTTCGTACCAAATAACAGGTATATGATCAAACCTCCGACACATGGGTTGGGTCGCATGGTCGACACACCCAAGTAGTCTGACATTGTTCTTGAAAAATCCATTTCATAGGAAGTTACTTGAGACACTCGTCTCACAACGCTCGCCTTTGTCATAGGGTAGCTCGCTTAGGCCACAGGACTTAGGAGTGGTGGAGAGCTGACACAAAGCCTCCACCGAAGGTACATTTTGAGGCATTTCAGATCTGGGAGATGTAGATATGATTTTGGCAAACGGTCATACAATGTCATGGAGCATCCGTTTGATGTCCGATTGATACCAAATTTGGTGAGCATTCATATTTCATATGGATGGACTTGACTCTAGAACCGCATGCCCAAATTCCGTACGAAACCCTGGCTTAGGTTAAGGCTCGAGACCCTACCTAACCCTTAAACAAGCCTATCTTTGACACTCTTGTCTACTTGATGCCTCCTTCTTGCCTATGTCTTGACTTGGCTTTAACGTACACCTTATATAGTGTGTTGGATGATTCACCATCCTTCTTGATCGCATCATGACACTGTCTTATCTCGGTCCTCGTGTAGCCAGTTGGGTCCCACTTCATTTCGCCACCTTGTCATGACTACATGTGAAGGTCACAACCTACTCTCTTCGTAGTATAATTGTGACACATGACACCCTGAGTTGTTAGCAAAGACTCATAGCTCACCATTTACAGTGCATCCAAGAATTATCAAGATGTACCAACACTTGAAAAATGTTACTGATGGCATGATATGAAGAGAAACGTGGCAGACCACGTGAATCGGTGTTCAACCTATCAGCAAGTCAATACACCTAGACAGAAACTCTCAGAATTACTGCAACCTCTAAGTACCCCATAGTGGTGGTAATAGAATTGATCCCATAGTTTCTAGAAACGAGAACAGGCTTCACAATGATTTTGGTCATTATTGACAGACATGATGAAACTTCATATCAAGCAAGGTCACGTATTTAGTATACAAGTGGGCACGTTTGTTCTTAATATAATACATAACAACTTTTTTTTAATATCCATAAATGTCCAAGTCTCATAAGACGGTGGATCTAACGCCAGCGGGTACCATGATTTATTACCTGAGGTCAATTTATAGTGAAGGAATTAAATCCTATGGTTAAGAAGTGGTAACAATTTTTTCCGGCCAAAAGCGGAAAAAAAAATTGTTTCAAAAGCCAATTTAAATATAGTTCAACTTAACAACATTTATATTTAACCAAGTACTCGGAGGATAGTTCGAGAACACAATTAGTCTCATTTATCAATCTATATTCATAGAAAAGTCTCAAATGTTCGTATTAGAACTAAGTCTTTGCCAGCTAAATCATAGTTAAAAGACTAATTGTAACCGTTCAAGTCCACTGCTAGTAGATATTGTCCTCTTTGAGCTTTCCTCTCAATGTTTTAAAAAGCATATGCTAAAGAGAAGATCAGGTCTGTTGTGGACTGGGATGTGTCGAAGTAGGAGAGAGCAGGCAGCTGTGGTGAGGATGCTCGAAGCCATTTTAGATACAACAAGACAACTTAGAAGGAGTAGAAAGTTGCCACAACCTAGGGTGAGTTTGCTTTCTACAGGGGAGTCTCCCATCTTTCTCATGCAGACTCAATGTCTCGGGTCAACACAAGGATCTTACTTCGCAGCAATCAAGTTTTCACACCCCAACTAATGTCAGATCTCATAATTCACCCCCTTGTAAATAGATATTGTTCGTTTTGGACCATTACATATCATCGTTAGCCTCAAGATTTTAAAATATACCTACTAGGGAGAGATTTCCACACTCTTATAAAGATGTTTCGTTCCCCCGTCCAACCGATATGGGATCTCACACTCATGGCTACAACTTTTAAAGTAGATAGAGTACATACCTAGTTACATTGAAAGTTTAAGAAGAACCAAACATGTTTCAATTATGTCATCTAATTAAAAGAACAACGTTGTCCCTTGCCTATGTTTGTCCATTAAAAGAACCAAACATGTTCTAACTATGTTTGTGAGGTTGTCCATTGTCAAGCAAGGCAACATTGTTCAACAAAAATATAACACAAAAGTAGAGAAGAAACATTACTACAAGCATCCATTTGTTGTCAACCTCATTATAATCATACTTTTCTCTAAATTTTCAAGCCATAGTTTTGTATTATTCCAAGCCTAATAACAACATTCAGCTTCCAAATTGTTTACACACAACCAAGTTTTCGATACCCCGAAAAAACAGAGCTGCAAAGGGAAAACAAGACAAGAATACAACAGAATTCTCCAACGACACGTTCGCTCACATATACCGAACGTGAACGACTAGCATTCAAAATTCAGGCATTGAAGTTGAGAGATAAAACTTGAAAATTTTCTCAAAGCATCATATGCTGCTTTCAATCATATATGGAGAATGATATTGAGGATGAACTAAGAATATGCATGAAGAAACCGAACAGGCGTGGTAGAAGCAGGTACTAACCATGAGGAGATTTCGAGCTTGTGGTCGACAAGTCGGACGAAGACATTGGAATTGATATGGAGAGCTGTGTTGTGGAGAAGGAAGTTTGATTGGATCTTTCGTCGAGTCCAGTCCATGACTCCCTAGTTCTCGGCCATTCGTCGAAGAGCGGTTGAAGTGATTGAGCTTCTTGTTTCAGAGTTTCCCCAGATGGATATTCGCCACCGAAGAACGAATGCTGCAGATATCCACTTTGGAAGATGGAGTTTTCAGTCGATTTTGATGCCGGGAAAGACGGTGATCGAGATGGCATTATTGGCCATGTATTGTCCATTGGTGCATCCATTTGAACAGCCCTGCTGCTTCCTGATGCCTCAGAAAAGAAACTATGCACTCCAGCCTCAGGTCTAAGCCCTTGAAGATACCTGTAATCCAATTAATACATAAATAAGGGAAGAGAATTTGCATCTATATGCTCAACTTCACTGCAAATTTAACCTCCAATACACATGCTTCAATGTTAATTCAACCATTGTCACTAGTAACAAAATGAAAATCGTACACTACAATGGTTCGGACACGACCAGACATCAAAGTGGCTCTCTGTTACTCGATTTCCGTCTATGAACCATGACAGTATGAGATATTTTAGGCTGTAAGCCCATGCGCTTCTGTCACGTTCCATAGATTCTTTAACCAGCAAGGTCCAACAATGTAAACGTGTACCGTGAGCTAAAGTGCTACAAGAATGATGCACGCTCTTAAGGTTCTTGCTCCCTAACAGACGTCCCCCCCCGACTCGACTCGCTTCCATGCGTGTAACGGCCCAGGCCCACCACTAGCAGATATTGTCCTCTTTAGGTTTTTCCTTTCGGGATTCCCCTCAAAAATTTTAAAACACGTCTGCTAGGGAAAGGTTTCCACACCCTTAGCCGATGTGGGATATCACAATGCGTAACCAAGATTATCAGAACTTGACCCCGAAAAAGAAAAGGTCAAAGGAAAGTAGCTCAAAAGGAGACCGTGTTAGCAGCAGAAATAAAATTAGCAGACAGATGAGACATCAATGGAGGATCAAAGCTATTAAATTCAGGTTTCTTGTGACTATGATCAAGGATATTGCAAATACAAAGAATATCAATTATGGAGAGTCCAAAAGCATATGAAAGAACAATCAAAATAGTTCAAAAACATGGCACTTTTTCCTCACATAGCTCCAGTACAGCAACGTGCGACAAGAGCGAAAAATAAAACATGTCCAAAGGCCTTCTTTCAAGACGTGAAGAGATCGATCACAAAGTCGAGCTGAAAGCTAAAAGCTTAAGCCGCTTTGGTGAAGGACAATAACCAAGTTAAAATGTTAGCTATGATGCGAAAAAGAAGAGAGCAAACCACCTAATACCGGTACAAACCCCGAGGTATGAACCGATGACAGATTGAAAGCTTAAGCATGGTTTACCCATTAAGCTCCATAAGTTCAGTCAGCTCACACAATAACT